TTTACCCCAGACTAAATTACCAGGAACATGTAATATGTATCAATATAGAGATATAAAATGAATAATATAAGGACACAGGCTTTGGTGAATATTTCCTAACTTTAGGAAGAATACATTAAAAAAGTATCTTGAATTTTATATTAGCACAGTGGCTTCTTTAATGTCGAACCGCATCATTGTGCATCATTACTTCCAAGACCGTCTCTTGTAAGATGACGTTAGTGCAAATAGGCCACTTTGGTTCAGGGAAAATTATCCAGACATCATTATATATATTTTTTCATATGAAAAGTAGGGGACAGAGTTGAGAGTTAGAAAGAGATCAAAGAGAGAAAAGCAGACCGCTATTTCACTGTCAATCACACATAAGAATAGGATAGTCTATCTCAAATTACAAAAATGGTCCCATCATAGAGATATCATCTAAGCATAATGTGACCACATCTGAATACCTTGCCCTTCTCTTTGAAGCTCTTTAAAGTGCCAATCACGGAAGTGCTGACAGTAAATCTGCAGTATCATTCAGTCCATTACTCTTTTTCCCATTCTTCATCTTTGCAACACCGTTCTACTTTTGTCTGTGTTTACTGATTGCCTAGTTTTTTTTACTTACTTTCTTCGTAGATGAGCAAAGACATTTCAAAAAGTGCTTTCAACTTGTTTTTGGGGCAGGCAAAGGAGTTTTTACTTTGTAGCATGTTGCATTTATTTAGTGATATTCCAGAATTGTTTGTTTGCTGTACGTAAAGCTGCATTGGAATAGTTTTTGCTGTATTAACGGAACTTTTAGTGCTGAAACTTAAACCATGATGCACAGTGGTTTGAAGACACATACATCTCTTTCATCAAAACTGACAAAAGGGGAAAATGCACTATGGAGGAAGCTGTATATCTATTACTGTACTGTGAGTGCTTGTTTCATCCAAAGAAAGATTGGCTAAGGATTGTGCGCTGAAAAATGTTAACTTCTTGTTGCTTTCATGCCGATTGTCTTCAAGACTTGTCTGTCTCATTTAATAAACGTCAATAGGTGTAATGCTTTGTTCAATGGAGCAAAAAAAAACGTTGCTGTTTATCAAAATCAGTTCTTTAGTTACTACATCAAGCAGGAAGCCTTCAGCTTCAGGAGATGCAATGCTAACTAGTGGCAGAGGATATTTTTAGGATGCCAGATCAGAAGATGGCATGCCTTTGAGCATACAGCATTCGGGGTGATGCCCTGCTGCTTAGAAAATGACTGAGGTAGAGATGTTATGGAAATCTTATAAGCCAGAGATGAGTGTTGTGGCAGTAACTATGTTCAGGAGGGGCAATAAAGGTGTTTTTGGAGTGCATGTCTTTAAAATACACTCTCGATGGGGATCAGATTTGGATAAGCCGTTAATGGTCCAGGATTGTCATAAACTCAAAATACACTGGAGTCCAGTGGATTATTTTATCTTGGTCTAATGAAGATGCCGGAGATGATTGTTAATGTGTCAAGAAAGACAAAATGGTAAAAAAAAAATGCCCTGCTGCACAATAGTGAGCGGTCTTGTTGGGACTGATTGATGATTGATAAACCCTTATCCTTTAAGTATTTTTGTCAAGTAACCCAGTGTGGTTTGCCAACGCACCAACCTTATTCACTAGGCAGAGTTGGAATAGCCACATGATTTTAAGAATTCAAAAATGTTTCACAATATTTGGACAAGTACCACTACTGCTACCACTTGAAGTGACAGACTTTTCACCATTATTGGAAGGCTGTAGTCAGTGTGACTGAACTAGAATGCTAAGCAGCCAGAACCAATGGACTCTAGTTTCTATTTTTTTTATTATTTAATTGGCTGAGATACAGTACAGGTTTTTTCAAGCACCCTTCAGTTTTGTAGTTACTCCAAGGTACACTTACCCCCTGGTTGAGAATCACTAATGGACATGAATGAGCTGACACTGGCTTTTTGAGTTAAATAGATCCTTCAAATGCAAAGTGTTAAGGTTGGGGAATAGTCATGGTCATACCTTTAAATACACAGCATTACCTAGGAAACAGTAGTGGCTCCCATGATATAGTCCAAATGGGATTTGGAAGGACAGCCTCTGTAGGTCACCATTGAGGGAAACTTCAATGTTAAAATCTACTTATTTAGTTAGTGATATTGATGATTCAGAATAAACTTGATGCCATGAATCCAAACCAACAATTGTTAATTAATAGGGCTTAAATGTCTACCTTTATTTCTATAATGGCTGAAAGGGACTCGACAGATAAGTACAATTAGAAAAAGAAGCTTTAAATCCCTTTTAGCACACCCCGTGAACCTTCATTTAACACACACACACACACACACACACACACACACACACACACACACACACACACACACACACACACACACACACACACACACACACACACACACACACACACACACACACACACACACACACACACACACACACACACACACACACACACCACACACACACACACACACACACACACACACACACACACACACACACACACACACACACACACACACACACACACACACACACACACACACACACACACACACACACACACACACACACACACACACACACACACACACACACACACACACACACACACACACACACACACACACACACACACACGGTTGAAAGCCCTCCAGACACAAGTGTTAAAGAAAATTGCAGAGGGAGAGCGTGCCGAGCTTCCAGTCTCAAAGTTTATTTACGACTCCAATACTGTTGAAATGTGTCAAGGGTCCTTGGGAGCCCTCTCCTGCGATGGGTCTCGAACAAACCTTTAATGGAGCTCTCAGGGAAGCGATGGAGGGAGGGAAAGGGAGGGTGACATTGTCTCCGTCTGAAGACTCGCCTCAATCTAATTGCCTCAAGTCCTATTGATTACCCGAGGCCCCTCACACCTTTTCCGTGTGATCCCTTCACAATGTGTGTAATCCCCTCGCAGAGCTTAAAGACCCTGCTGTTTTCAGTTTTCAGATGTTCCTAGCAGTATTGATCAAACTGTGCTCACGTGTGTTTTTGTTTGGAACCGCGCAGGGGAAGCTAATTGCCTTGATCAGTTATAATTCAGATGCTGAGAAAAAGGAAGTAAACACATGGCAGCATGCTGATATTTAAATCAAAGTGTATAACGATCACCTCTGCTGAACAGACACAGCCTACATCCACTGTCACACACACACCCCTATAAACTGTTTGCAACCAGAAGCACCAAACCTGAGCCTCCATCAACCTCCTGCCAGGCCTGGAGGTATGTTTAAGCTGCAGCTTGATCCCCAGCTCATATAACCAGACATCCTACTGTTGCAACACACACAGCACCTGTGACTCTCTTCACCCATCTCATATTGTTTTGGTCCCCAAGGAAGATTACTCCAGCCCCACGTAATGAAATGCCCTCATGCTGTCTCTCTCTTGCTATTAGTGTGTGTATGTGTGTGAAGACGATGACATTGCAAATCTGGCATAGACTTTTTGGAGTGGTGCCTGAAACAGAATGTGAGAAGAGAGACTACATAGAATCTCCCTCCATCTTCTTATCGATTGGAAGAACCCTGGACCCCGACGGTAACACCTGCCATAAAGAATATCTGACAGGCCTCCAAGAGTGCAGTCAGTTTAAGTCACATGCTGTACCTCCTTCAGCTTTTCTGATGCTGCTTTTATTTATCTTAATAACTGGTGTGCAAAAACTGCCAGCGGGTTGAATAACTATAACGTTACTATGAGTTGTGCATATGGCCAATAGGTGTTTTGGTAGTTTACAAGCATAGCTTTACCAGAAGTTACGCAAAAAAAGAAGTTTCCCTAAGTCTTATTGTGTAATTTCATTAAATGACACATCTTACAATTCCCACCTACCCTGCCATTCAGGCCACTAGCTCACATTGTTAACAAAGCTTTTCTGTATTAACTTAAATTGCCAGTTCAAGAGGAGCAAATAAGCGAGGTCATGGACAACACAAACATTTTTAACCAGTTAAGAAAATGACATTTCCAGAACAAATGACTATATATTCCCTTCTAAAAGGGGTAAATTAATCATCTTTTTCTCAAAGCAATGATAAACCTGAGAGTTGGATGTAGAAAAGTCAGAATCAATATAGATTTTTTTATTTTCAAGTAAATTCAGATTGAACATAGTAAAAAATGTAAAATTATAGTGTCCATCCAAAAAAAGATTACTTGGTGAAAACCACCCTTGAATGATGGGATAGTAGACTAAAAGCTGTAGGAATCCAAACTATAACATATAATAAGTACCATGTATCAAGATTGATGCAAAATAAGTGACATTTGACCTTTTTAGAGAGATTTAGGGGGAAAAAACACTTCTGGGGTCATTTGGCTGCATTTTCCATACTGTATGTCTGGTCCCCCTCGGTCAATTTTGATGATTGACACCTATTTTTAACCATTAGAGCCAATAGAATCGAGGGGAAGTTCCTAAAATCCATCTAAACATTACCCATTGGTGAATGAGTGATGCGTAGCCAGAATGCCCAAAACCGGAAGCTGTCATACACTCTCGTAGCTATCATAGCAGCTAATATGAAATCTCCGTTATTGACATAAATATGAAGATGGATTATCAGTAATCATTTCAAAGTGACACAGACACATTGGATTGACCTTCAGCAGCGTTTTTATCATTTTAATAAAATTGAACACAACTTTTGATCAGAAAACAACAACAGTAAGACGTTTTTAGCCGTTTTGGCTCCGTAAAGCTAATTTTTGTTGTTGTTTGTTGTCGTTTCGCCGCGAGTTCTGATCGCTCAGTGATGATAATTATATGTCTGGAATCTGTGGTATCTCAGCTTGCTAATTGATATCTTGTGCAGATCCGATAAGTAATAAGGGTATTTTACCATGAGTTCATAGTTTATTAAATGTTAAGAAGCCCTCAGACGCTGTTTCTTGCTAGATGTACCGGGGGCATGGGGCTTAACTGGTTAATAAGATATGCATTCTCCTACCTTTTTTTTGTTGGTTGGGCAGATGTAGAAACTGGTCACCACGATTGTTGTCCCTGGCATCAGGTTGAGTTTGGTGTAGGTGGTCCCATAGTCAGTAGACCTAAAAGCAGGCAGACAAAAAACAGTTGGTCAAAACAACTTTTAAGAACATTGTTGTGGTCATTTTTTTCTATGATCTCATGAGTTATACAACATTAATAGTCAAATGCATTATGGTAATTAATTAAAGAAAATGACCTGAATTATTACAACACTTTTATTGTTTCTGTTTCACAAAACTGTTCTTATCCTACACATTAAAACAACAACTACTCCATAAAACACCCATATCTTGGCAGAAAGAGGATTAAATCTGCAAAATGCCGGAACAGGGCAGCCTGCTTATTCTTCAAACTGCCCTCAAGGCGTTATACCAGCTCTCTGTTAATATATCATATTACCACTTTGTGGTCCGTGTTCTGAGCCCAGTGACAAATGGCCAAAAGACCTGTCATTGCCACCACGACAGGGAGAAAAAAAGCCTTAGGTTTTCAATGAAGTACTAGGCAATCCTCAAATCTGGCAGCTTTAAGAGCAGGTACGAACTGCTGTGTGTGTTTGAGATTGATAGCTAGCTGGTGGATTGTTTTCCCCAGTACGGCTCAGTCTTGCCCACCAAGCACAGTGAAGGTGATTGTTTGTGACAGCTTATGAAAAACGGCACAGGTTTCAGCTCGACCAGGCGGAGGAGAGGTGACCCCTTATGCATAATTAATGTCTCAAATTCTTGTCAGGTATATACAGAGAAAAGACTAATCCAGAAAACACTCTCCCTTTACCACAAAATGCAAACAAGGCAAAATAAGGGAGCAAATACTGATTATGAATAAGAAACTGAATTTGACTTGGCAGTAAAAAGTGGTTAAATAATTCCAATGTAATATCTACTGTATTTGCATTGGCTTTTATTTAAAGTGCAGTGTTTGACAAGTTTTAGGAGTGATATAAGAAGCAATCCAAAGCACACAGGAAAGGAGATGCTGCAGCATTTAGCCACGGGTTGAGGGTTCAACAGGAGGGAGCCTGGAAGAAGAGGTCTTGATGAAAGAGAATGATGAGCAAGCACGTAAGCCTGGTTAAGGATGAGAGGATTTACTCTTTCGCACAGTGGGACATCAGCCACTGACACACACACACAATGAGACTGATACACACGCAGAGCCCTGCCAAGCTATTCAGCAATCAGCTCTCCCAGAGTGCTTCGATACAGCTGGAGAAAATGGAGTGGCATAGCGGGTGTGTTCTATTTCTCTGCGGTGAGTTGGCAACTGTTTTCATCTGGTGGCCTGAGTGCCATGTATAACCTGGGATTACTTGGAGGACATGGACAGTCCTAATGGCCATGTCATAATATCAGATTTTGCTTACACGATTACAATGGCCAAATGTAAGTTAATTTAAGATAATGATATGACATGATGCTATGAGTGACTTTTATCTTTAACTTTTGAAGCGTTTTAATGCATTATTTCAGATATAATAGGCAATAAAAGAATGCTGATAATGTATGTTTTAGACAAGTTAATGACTTGCATATAAAATGTACATTATAAAACTATTTTAACTATTTAACTATTTTATTTTGAACATCATTATTTACTAATAAAAACTATTTAAATTAGAGTGTGTATTTTTCTTTCATATTGCCACACTTGGTAACCGTTTTATAAAAGCAATAGCTCACTTCAGGCCGTGATATATGCTCATTATATCACAGCTAAGGGGGTTGTCGACCCTCCGCTTCGCGTCGGGCCGAACCACGCCCCTTAGCTGTGATATAATGAGCATATACCACGGCCTGTCGTGAGCTATTGCTTAATTATAAAACGGACAAGTAAAATCAAGCAATCTGATTGGTTCTTAGCCGTGGTATACTGAGCGTATACCACGGGTAGAATTGTAAGTTACTTTTCACAACAACTCAGTAACCCTCCGCGTCTGAGATAAACAGTATACAGTTGGGCCGAAAAGCAAACTGCTTGCAGTTTGCTTTTCAAACTGGAACAAGAAAGCAGCGGAGAAGTAACGGAGCAGAAACCCTCCTTTTTACGCAACGGTCCAGACATAGACATCAAACGGCAAAAACATATTCAGTGTGCAGTTCCTTTGGCATTAGGGCAGGGATATTTAGATACTTTCCAAGGTTTGACATAATGAATTGTGCTACTTTTAAAGCGAGCAACGATGTTTTCAAATCTGTAATCAAAAAGGTCCGCAAAAACATTTAAGATTAACTTCGACCTCCGGGGGGGGGGGGGTGTCTTACTATGGAGGAGTGGATTGAGGAGTGCCTATCTCCAGAACAAAAAGCACCTAAACGACGACATGTAGAGCTACGTGAAGAGCAGGTAGACCAACTGGAAAAGTATCACCATTCAAAAGCTTTCTGATGCGGGTCTTGAAACAAAGCAGAGAAATTATGACCGTTAGTGGCCACAGGTGCGAAAGCTCTCTCCAGAGCTACTGGAAGCCGAATCTCGGGGACCGGAGAAAGTGGAGCAATATTCTCGCCACGCCAAACAACAGCCTAGAACAACCTCAGCCTATACAAGTAACCACGTAAGCCATGCTACTGATGCTGGACAGTTTTTCAGTGAGTGCACAATAAACGGCAACATACACATTAATGTAAATAAATAGCCAAATAATGGATCAACGCTCTCTGTCTAATATGTTCGCTAGCTGTTGTTAGTGTTGTTGCATAGCAACCACCTCGCACTATGTTTCGTGCAGAAGGCAACAGAGGGACTATTTTATTTTGAACATCATTATTTACTAATAAAAACTATTTAAATTAGAGTGTGTATTTTTCTTTCATATTGCCACACTTGGTAACCGTTTTATAAAAGCAATAGCTCACTTCAGGCCGTGATATATGCTCATTATATCACAGCTAAGGGGGTTGTCGACCCTCCGCTTCGCGTCGGGCCGAACCACGCCCCTTAGCTGTGATATAATGAGCATATACCACGGCCTGTCGTGAGCTATTGCTTAAATAAACATTTGTTAAATAACCTTTAAAGTCAAATTAATTAGCCAACCATGTCAACATAACAATGCATGAAACGTATTAAAATGAAAGCAAACTACACACTAGAGGCCTACAATGACACCATGTTAGGTCTTCTTTTTTTAAATCAGATTCACTATACACAGTAATTAAAAAAAAAAATCCAACAAAACAACTTATTTTCTTTAGTATTAAAACTCTTCAGTAGCTTAACAGCCACATAAAACACTGAGCAATTGAACACTATACGTGTAATGTTTTCATAGTTAAGTAAAGTTGTCAACAGATTTAGCTGTGCACTACAACAGTTAGCTAACTTCACTGTTCGTCGTTTAATGCTAATGTTGTTAACTCCAGCCTTATTCACTTTAGCCAGCTAGCTTAGCCTAGCACCTGCGCAGCATATATTCAATTATATATTTACCGCGATTCACCAATTCAGGAGTGCTTCAGTGTCAGTTGCCAGCTTGTCCTACACACATATCTACAACTTTTCAACTAAGTGCAAAGTGTTGCCGTTTGATTTGACAACATTTATATTGAGTAACTTATTACGGTTTTATCGGAGTGACATTTTGACCGTTCAGCAGGTCTCTCTCCACTGTCACCTCGCGTCTGAGATGCGGTACCTGCATTCTGATTGGCTAGGACACTTCTGTGTTGAAAACTCTGTCTTACAATTGGCTACACAGCAGTTAACCCTTTGTGACCCGAGTTACATCTGCGCAAACAAAAGTACATTCGCAATTCTTTAATAGGAAGGCAACATTGCAGGTGCACAAGTACAGTAAAGGAACATATAAATACAAATAACAAAACACTCCATTAAAATCAAACAAATATTAAGTATATTGTACACTATGCAATAGTGAAAATTGGCAGGTATAGGAGGAGCTTAGGCCTATAAGTAAAATAACACAAGAGGTGTCAGATGCAGTTACATGTTGAGGCTTTCTGTGAAGAGCACTCTGAAATATATTACCATGTTCTTTTTGGGACTTTTCAGTGACCTTAGCTACAATGTTAACACTTTTAGAGAGCTGCTTTTTGCACTGAACTTATTGTACAATGTTCTCATTTTAAATGATAACAAGCTTTTAACCAGGCTTCTGTATTTCATTTAAAGTATGTATTTGCTAAGACCTAAACATGCTAGGGCTCAGGCTAAAAGGCAGAGCTAAGGGGAATTCCAGAGTAGGTCATTACTTTGTATGGAGTGTCACCAGGAGCAACTTCTTCCCCATTAAACATATGCGGATTTGCTAAAGTGACCAGGCTGCAAATGAAGTTGTACAATTGACAAAAACACATTCAACCACAAGTTGGCCAGGGGCAGCCCTGATTGGGAGAATGTAAAATAATATCAATACTTCACAACCATGTATTGGCCAATGAACAACATGGCCAATGTCAACTATATTGCTGTACATGACATTGTTTAAAACAACCCTGTGTTAATCTGTGTTGATCACAGTGGTTCCCAAAGCCTTCTTGCTTATTATGTATTCATAGTCCTTCATTAGCAGAGTGTAGCAGGTAAGGGGCGGGCCTTGTGCACTGAAACAGATCTCAGCATCTGGACGCTGACTGACTCGTCACACTACGTCCCCTATCTTTCTGTCCTCATTAAACTTCACTAGCAAGAGTCTGTTTCCATGGAGACTGCTTCTCTACAGCCATCTGGTGTTAAAGACCAAAGGTTTGGGGCACATTTAGTGAAATGTTGAAATTGACACATTGGTGTTTAGATATTTCAGCGTATATATTATTTTATTTTTTAAACTCAACAACCAGATAAATGTCATAGATTCAGCTCTTTTTGGATGTAGATGTTGAAGTGACTGCATTTAACTCAAAAGCAAGGTATATGACACATAGGATGATCATTTGTGTCATTAACATATAGCGGGCAACTTGGAAAAGTTGCAAAGAACCAGGGAGAAGTCAGGAAGGAGATGCCAACACTAATAAAGGCTAACTTGGGGGTAGGACAGGGATCGCTGGGGAAAGTCATCAGCCCCAGAGCCTTATATGGCGTGAATAATGATGTT